AGCTTAGGCTGGCCTCAAACTCCAGACCTTTACCTCAGCTTCCTGAGTACTGGGATTAGAGGTGTGATCCACCACACCTGGTACTCACTGTATATGTTTAGTAACTTAATAGGTGCACTAGTTACCTTTTTAATCATTTAAAGCTGTAAGAGGGGCTGAAGAGATGGCTCAGCAGTTAGGAGCATGGGCTGCTCTTGCAGAGGACCTGAGTTCAATTCCCAGCACCCACATAGTTGGCTAACAACCATCCGTAACTCCAGTTCCAGGGGAATCCAACAGCACCCACATGGTGACTAATAACCATCCATAACTCCAGTTCCAGGGTCTCTTCTGACCTCTACAGGCATTACACACATGGATGCACTTACACATATGCAGACAACACCCTCGTACACATAAAATAAAAATAATAAATAAAAGCTGTAAGAGTGTGTGATTTCTTTCTTTTCCCTATAGCCCCAGCTGTCCTGGCACTCACTATGTAGACCAGGCTGGCCTCACCTCACAGAGATCCGCCTGCTTCTGCCTCCAGGGTGCTGGGATTAAAGGCGTGCTCCACCACCCCGAGAGTGTGATTTTACAGTCCATCCTGGGCTAGGGCTCAGGTTTTAGAAGATTTAGCTGATCTGTCACAGCCATCTAGTGGCAGAACAACGACATCACTGGTTTAGTGCATTAGAGGGTTGTTTTGCTTTCAATCATCGTTATTTGTTTGCTTGTTCTACATAAGCTGTACAACTAATTTTTCGTTAGTACTGAGGAATGAACCTAATATCTTAATGCATGCTAAGGCAAGTGCTCTACCACTGTGTTCCTATCCCAGGTAAAACTAATTAAGAGGTAATAGCAGTGGGGTGTGGTGCACACCTGTAATCCCAACACCAGGCTGAGGCAGGAGGAGCACAAGTTCAAAGGCAGCCTGGACTGTATAGCAAGACCCTGTTCAATAAAACCAGAGGGTGGGGAATAGCAGGGATGGGAGCAGGGGGGAGGTGAAGGGGCAAGATGGGAGTTAAGTTCTTGGCAGAGTTAGAGGAGAATGGAACCAAGGACAGAGAGAGGCACTAGGGTGGGTCCTGTACTTGTCAAAGTTGACATCCAGCATGCCCATCTTCTCCTGGCTGATTCGTAATAGTGGTGTATCCAGGCGCTGAATGCAGTCCTTGTCCAGCGTTGCCGTCCACTCTTGGAAGGTTTTTCGAACCAGTTCATCGATGGCTTGAACCATCTGCAGATACGTGTGAACGCTCTCCTCTCCAGTCCCAATATGAGGCAGGAAATGGGCACCAGAAAGGCACTGGGGGGAGGAGCAGATGGGCAGCCCATTTACATCTGCACAGACCTGCTATACATGCGCACAGTCACATGCACATGCACACCCCTCAACACCTGTAAGGCTTGCTATGGACCATGACTGATTCTGACAACCTAAAGGGATGACCACCAAACAGAAAAGAGAAAGAAAGAAGCAAGACACACTAAGAAGGGGAGTCAAAGTGAAGACAAAAGATCAGAGAGCCAGTCCAAGAGAAAAGTTGGGAGAAAGGGGAAATCATAGAAAGTAAAGGACCAACGAGGTTACAGTTGGGGCTGGCTCATCTCAGTCTGGTCATCCGCAGGCCCCCTTCTTCTCTCTCAGAACCAATTGGGCAATAAGCAGATCAGTAGCTCAAATAGCTTTTACTCTGTGTTTCTAAAAAGGGTTATTTTTGTTTGTTTGCTTTAGACAGGATCTCACTATGTAACCCTGGTTGATGTGGAATGCACTATGCAGACTGTGCTGGTCTTGAATTCAGAGATCTTCCTGCCTCAGCCTCCCAAGAACTGGGATTATAAGTATGCACCACCATTCCCAACACACACAGATTTTTCTTTTTAATTTTCCCCTTTAGTTCTTTGTTCCTGTTATCCTAGAGAGAACAGGGCCTTGCCTGTGGAGGTCTCTGGATCACCAAGTATATTGCTCTTCTGTTGCCCTAACTTCCCAGATACTGGTCCTACTTTTCCTCACCACCTTAACATGAAATACAATGATCTTTGGTCTACTAGCCATTTGTGCCACCTCTGTAAACCAAACCAGGGCTTGCCAAGATGAACTGAGTATGCCTCTCCCCTCATCCCACCCAGTGTCTGGTTGTGAAAACTCTCTATAAGCCCTGTCAGACCTCACCCTACCCCCACCCCCATACCTCCCAGCTGCACACAGCACACCCTGTAATTTCACTGAGGACAGTTTAGCAGAGTCCAGACACCTACATTCATGACTCTGTCGATGCGTCGCCGAAGGATCCGCACCCAGTGCGCCTGTCCGGAAAACTGAGCCATGTAGGGCACCTGGTATGGCCACTTCTTGTTCAGTTCACAGTTCACCAGTGCTAGTTCGCTATTGAACAGCATGTAGAGATCCACTGCTTTCTTCTCATATGTCCTCATGATGGCCTAAGGAACAAGAAGTAGGTGATATACTTCATGGAGTTGGGTTCCCTCAGTCCCTGGTCCTAGAGGAAAGCTCTGACACCTATGCACAGTGGGAGCCAGAGGAAGAGAGGAAAGATGAAGGAAAAGAAGCACCAACAACTCAGCATGTAGGAAAGGGTGCATGCAGAGGCAGGACAGAGTCTAGAAGGCTCAGAACTAAAGGCAAGCAGACAGGCCCTTGAGGTGGGGCAGGCAAGTGCACCTCCCGGGCAGCCAGCCTGTGGAAGGTGTCCAGCAGGAGTACTCCATGCTCCACATCTCGAACTAACTCAAAGGCCGAAGTGATCAAGTTCTGGGTCATCACCTCCAGGTCCTTGATACCAGCACGGAATCTACACCGTCAGAGAGGCATGGAGAAGTGACTTGCCACCCCCCAAGTACGTCCCAAGTGAGATTCTCATGTGTTGCTGTGCCCTGAAGCTTCCTGCATGTCAGCATGTGACTAAAGTGTGCTTTACATCCACGAATCTATTTCACTCTAGACAATGCTAAGAGATGGGTTCTATCTTTAACCTTATTTATAAATGAGGAGGACAGGCATCCCCTGGGAGTGTAACTTGCCCAGTGTCCTGAAAGGTCAACAGTCCTGAAAGGTTCACTCTGGAACCTGGAACCTGGCCAATTTGGTGTTCTCTCTTCCCTTCGCACCTTGAGCTGTTCTCCCTCCATAGCCTTCAACTTGCAGTCCTCCTGTCTCTACCTCCAAAGTCCCAGGATTGTACAGATGTGTGCCACCACTCCTGGCTCTTCCAAGGTCTGCTTTGCACACCCAGCCTCTCCTCCCACTCTTGTCTCCCCCTACCCTGCCCAACCCCAGCCTCAGCCTGTGTCTCCCTCACCTATTATAGTCTTCATGCCAAGAAGTGTTCTTGACATCCAGGATGCCCCCTCGAACAGCTCGAAGTGTTTGCAGATTTTTATGAAAGATGTCCTCAATTTCTAGCAAGTTTCTTGTGATCTGCGGCCCCTGGGCACCAAAGAAGCAAGGAAGGGGACCTTGCTTGCCATCTTCCCAACGGGCAAAGTGGTACTGACAGTCACATACCTAAAAAGACATCAGTGTAAAAGATCCTTTCTTTTCTGAACTTAGGAATTCTGAGTTCTTTGATATAATTTCAAATGTCTATGAAGTAGAGAGGACCATCCAGATGTAGGTGGACACTGGGATGAATTTTGGCTGCAGAATGAAATATAAGATGCTAGGGCAGAGTTGAAAGGCAAATGTCAACAAGAAGGAGGTAGAGGAAAGAGGACATGCAATTACGCAGGAAGAGCCAGCATGCCAGGTTCTACGTTTAAACTCGTAAACAGAGCCTTGGCCCCATCTGTTTGGCTCCTGGCACAGGACTCGAGGGTATGCTATTGGTTTTTGATTCTCCCAGCCTGACAAGTCTTCCTACCTCAATAAGGTCTTTGCAGCGCTGCACAAAGGCATCTACTTGAGCGAATATGCTGGTCTGGTCTAGAACCCAGCCCCGATTGGAGAACCTGTGTTAGAAGAAAAATGAGCCTAATCAAGAGCAAGGACACTAGGGATCAGTCTGCCATGCAGAACAAGGCTGTGGGAACCTGTGCTCAGAAAAGGAGACCCTAAGAAGCACTTTCCCTGGACCCTTAAAGAAGAAACTCAAGGTGCGCTGAAGCAGAGAGGAGACATGGTCTCTAAGTTCTAGAAGGTTTATACATAGTAACTTTTCTAACCATGACAGAGGAAAAGATTAGGAAGGGTTCCTGGAATCACAGGAAAGAGGTTGTGACCACTAGGAAACTTGGGGGCAAGCAGCTACAACACTTGCATTCAAATGGAAAACCTGACTGGAGATAGAGACTCCCAGGTTTAGAAACATATAATCCACAACAACAACAACAAAAGGGAACAGGAAAAGTCAGACTCTACTCTCTGAAGAATGACAAGGGGTTATTCACGGATGTTAGGGAGACCCATCGTACTGGGTATGCATCTGTACAGCAGTCAGGTAGTGATCTTTCCAAGCATGACAACAGGAAATGCAGCCTTGCAGGTCCTCCTTGCTAGAAGAGACATATCCCTCAAAGATTCGGTCCAGAGAGATGGCATGACAGCATAAGCGGATGATCTCATTGCTCATCTGCAGAGGGAGCCCAACAGCTTCAATTTGCATCCTTATTTCCACCAACTTCTCTCAGTCTCCCTAGCCTTGCCACAGGCCTTGGCCTCCTGGTTCCTGATTTGTTTCCTGAGGCCCACCTCACCCCTGCTCCTCTGGGCACACTCCATGTCACATGCTCTAGTTGGCTCTGCTGTGTGTGCCTCAACCCAGCTCTGCACTTACACTGCTCCAGCTAGATGGCCTTTAGCAAACCTTTCCCCATTCTTTGTGTTGATCACACCCCACACCCTCCACCATCACCTCCACCTCCACTCCACCCACCCACTCTGCATCCTGTGACATGCACCAGGCTCTGCTGCCCAGGAGCCACGTTCCTTTGGAAATCTACTTCCCACACTCTACTGCAGGCTCCATCTTGAGAAAGAAGAAAAGGTCTTCCCTCTGTACAACTCAGTTACAGTCTATCCTTCCTGCCTTTCCCAGGCTCACTGCCTCCCTCTCTCCAACCCCTTCCTGACTGAGCAACTTCCAAGGAGAAACAGAAGCTGAGGGACCCAGCTCTGAGCACTGCTAAAGACAGAAGCCTCTGGTGTCCATCTGAGCTGAAGGGCAGTCCTTAGTGCCTTTCCACCACATATCTGGCAGGGAATTTGAGCCCTACCAATATGGCCACATCACACCACCCCTCCCTTTTGCACACCTTCCGGAAGAGGGCAGTCAATCTTTCCCGAGTGTTGTAGTGGGGAGAGTTGACCCAAATGATACGGATGAGACTGATTAGCCTAGGGAGCTTGTCTGAAATGTCCTTAGGTTTCATGAAGGCCAGCTCCTGGTAGGGTTCCCTCAGGATTGACAAGAAAGTCAGGTTTGACTGTGCTTGGCGAGAGCCATCCTACAGTAGAGAGAAAACTTGGAGTATATTTATCCACAGGGAGGTCAAGGGGACTGATTGAGGGGGCTGGAGAGGCGGCTCAGTTGATAAAGTGCTCAATGCTACATAAGCATGAGGTTCTGAGTTTAGATTTCCAGTACCCGTGTGAAAGATGGGCACACTGGCATGTCTGTAATTCAGTTGTGGGGTCGTGGAGGGGAGACAGGCAAACTGCTAGAGCTTGGTGGCCAGCTAGCCAGATTCAGTGAGAGACCTATCTAAAAAATATTAGGTGAAAAGTGATTGAGGATGACACCTAGTATCACCCTCTAGCCTCTACATGCACACACATATGTGCACACATGTGCATGTACCCACATGAACATGTACATACACCACACATAAACATAAACTGATTCAGACTTCCCATCCATTTTGAACACCATCTACTAGGCAGCCCTACCAATAAACCCACCCCAGGAGAGATCATTTCAAGACCAGAATTTGCACATACCAACTATTATTCATTTGCTTTTTTTTTTTTGAGACAGGGTCTCACGTATCCCAGGCTACTCTCAGACCTACTATCTAGCCAAGGGTGACCTTGAATTTCTGATCCCTCTGGTTCCATCTCCCAAGTACTGGGATTACAGATATATACTACCCTACCTTGATTATGTACTGCTAGAAATCAAACCCAGGGCTTCCTGTGAGCTAGGCTAGCACTCTACCACCTGAGTAACTTCCCCAACCCTTCATGTGCTATTCCCTACAAAAGTCTTTCAGACTGGGAATTCCCCAAGCCCCAGTCTGGTGTCTGTTTCAACCTCATCCAGTTGAACTAAGAACTCTTTACAGGCTTTGTGTGGTGGTATGCACCTTTAATCCTAGCACTGGGGTAGGGGTGGAGGGAACACAGATAGGAGGATCTCTATGAGTTGAGCCAGCATGGTCTACTTGATGAGCTCCAGGCCAGCCAAGGGCTACACAGTTAGACCTTGTCTCAAAACAAACAAAAAAGAACTGTACAAAGTGGATGTTCCATAGCTGTTGACCAATAGCTGGTACCTGGACATCACTCCCCTACTACAGTCACCAGGGCCACCCACTCTCCTCTCCACACTGTTCTCAAAAGGGGTTTTAAACTTCTCCAGCTAGCTATAGTGCCATCTCCTTAAGGCCTGGTTGAAAGTTTCATCTGAGAAAAGAGATCTTCACACAGATCACTCACCTCCTATGGGGACCCAGCACCTACATGATCAGCTTGTCATATTCATTTTAAGTTGTTTTGAAACTCGTGACTGAACCACACAGACTGATCTTTAGTTCCTTGTCACCTCTAATCCTCTTTTATGTAAGTCTTATTTTCTCAGCCACATTGGAGGGTTGGATTCGACATGGGTAATCAACGTCTATTTGTTGATTAACTGAATGTTCTACCTAAACTATGAGCTCCTTAGGGACCTTGACATCCTTCTCATATCTTCTTCTACAAGTCCAAACACTGCATGTGATGATTATGTTGCCTCCCTCCTCACCCCACCTCCCCATGTCATCCTATCCATTGTCCACTTTTTGCTAAGCTCCCAGTCTCTTATCCACTCAAACAACCTGGATCTGCTGGGCCAGCTTCATAAAAGGTAACAAGTAGGATGACTTGGCCAGTTGCAGGATAGACTCAATGTGCTTCATTCCCTGTTTCACCAGCTGCTTGCTGATGCCAGACAGGTCCATGCATCGGTTGTGCCAGAACTCGATCTCTTCCAAAGGACCTAAATTTTCTCCAGTCTCTACAGACTCCTGGGCACTGAGCACCTCCTTGATCTGCCTGGTCCAGTGGATTATGGAGGCTGCAGGGGAAAATGCAGAATCTCTTGTGGTTCTTTATATTGCTCCCCACTTGTGCTCTCTGTGCCACATAGGCCTCCTAAGCAGCTCCTTTGTCAGCATTTAGGCTGCCTCTGCCCCATCTACAATCCCTCCAACAAGGGCGATGCCAGCCACTCACTTTCCAGTCGCTGTACCAGCTCTTTGTCCTTCACCACTGCCTCGGGCATCATGTTCATGGCCTCTATAGGAATGTAGAAGACGGTGTGCCCCTCCAGTTTGTACCGGATGTCTAAAGAAAGGACCAGGGAAATTCCAAGGGATGAGCTTTTGATGCCCTGTATAAATTATGGTTGATGATCAGTTGGGGCGGGGAGGGCACAAAGTACAGTCAGCTCTATGTATCCATGGGTTCCACGTCTACAGATTCAAAAAACCAAGGATAAAAATATTTATTTATTTATCGTGTGTGTGTGTGTGTGTGTGTGTGTGTGTGTGTGCCACAATGTGTACGTGTACCACAGTGCATGTATGGAGGTCAGAGAACAATTTGTAGGAGACAGTTCTCTCCTTCTACCATGTGGGTTCTGGAGATCAAACTCCACTCCCTCAGCCATCTTGCTGGTTTCCCTCAATTTTCTTTTTTTGAGACAGGGTCTCACTATGTAGTTCTGAGTAGCCTAAAACTCACTATGTAGACCAGGCTATCCTTGAACTCACAGAGTTCCATCTGCATCCCAAGTGATGGGATTAAAGGTACGAGCCATCACTCCCAACTCCAAAATTTATTTTTATAAATTACAAATGTATTAAATGCATCCTTTTGTCATCATTCCCTAAACACAATATAACGCCTATTTACAGGGTTTACATTGTATTAAGAATTATAAGTAATTTAGAGATTTTAAAGTATATGGTGAAGCCCGGCATGGTGGTGCATATGTTTAGTCCCAGCACTTGGGAGGCAGAGGCAGGCAGATCTCTGTGAATTTGAGACCAGCCTGATCTCCATAGTGAATCCAGGCCAGCCGTGGCTACAGGGATTTATGTCTCAAAAAGACATAAATAAATAAATAAATAAATAAATAAATAAATAAATAAATATAAATAAATAAATAAAAGTATATGGTGAAGATATATATAGGGTATATGCAATTGCTGCATCTTTTTCTGAGGGACTTGACCATCAAGAGAGCTGAGTATCTGGGGTGGGGAGGGGGCTAGAACAAATTCCCTAAAGATACCAAGGATGACATATGCATTTTAGGAGAACAGACAGGAGCTATTATGACTCAAACTTTTTTGGTATCTAGAAATAACAGAAATAACTCTACACGATGCTTGCAAGTCTCCAACTGCCCTCCCCTGTCACCTACATTTCTCCTTCTGCTGTACTCTTAGAAATCTCCAATTCAGACCAGGCATGGTGGCACATACCTTTAATCCCAGCACTCAGGAGGCAGAAGCAGGGGGATCTCTGTGAGTTCAAGGCTAGCCTGGTCTATATAGTAAGTTCCAGGCCAGCTGAGGCTGCAGGGAGACCCTATCTCAAAAAGACCCAAAAAAAGGAAAAAAAAGAAATCTCCAATTCTAGGTCTCAGCAGGTCTGAAAACCAAGTTCTATAACAGTAAAGGGCATCTACATTAGAAGGAATTTTTTTTAAAGACAGGGTCTCACTATATAGCCCTGACTGGCCTCAAACTTGCTAAGTATAGCAGGATGGCCTCAAATGCACAGAGATTCACCAGGCTATGCCTCCCAAGTTCTGGGGTTAAAGATGTGTGCCACTATGCCTGGCTTGTTGTTTTGTTTTTTGAGACAGGGGCTCCCAATGTAGCCTAGACTGGCCTTGAACTCAAGATCCTTCTGCCTCAGCTTCCCCGGTGCATCACTGAACCTTTACTCTTTAAGTCAGCAGAGTTTTTTTTGTTTTTGTTTTAAGACAGGATCTCAGGTAGCCCAGGCTGGCCTTCAATTTCTGACCCTTCTACCTCCACCTTCTGAGTGCTGGAATTGCAGACATGTGCCACCATGCCTAGCAACTTTTCCCCCCTTTCTTTAAAAAACTATTTTTCAGTTGTGTCTGAGTGTATGTGGCCATGTGTCTGTGTCTGTGTGTGTACACACACGTGTGCATGCGTATACCATGTGAATGCAGTGCCTTAGAGTCCAGAAGAGAGCATTGGATCCCCTGGAGCTGAAGTTACAGGTAGTTGTGAACTACCTGATGTAAGTGCTGGGAACTGAACTTTGATCCTCTGCAAGATCAGCAAGCGTTCTTAACCACTAAGCCAGCTCTCCAGCCCCCTTCCCTTTTTTATTATTGTTGTTACTAGAGAGGGTCTCATGTATCCTAGGCTAGTCTCAAACTTACTGTGTAACTGAGACAGACTTTGAACTTCTGGTCCTCCTGCCTCCACTTCCTGAATACAGGTTTATGCTGCTACACCCAGTTCATGCAGTGCTGGAGATCAAACCCAGGGCATTGTACACATTAGAGAAGCACTCTACCAGCTGAGCTACATTCCCAGCCCAAGTCAGCAGATTTGTGATTTTAATTTAGGACACTAAGGACACAGGAGCAAAATACTTGTGCTTGTGTGTGTGTACACACTTAAGCACTAGGGTGCCACATACACATGAGTGGTATGCACAGCAAGAATTCCTTACAAAAATTCTTTCAAAGGCTGGGGGTGTAACATGGTGGATGAGCAAGCACTTAACTAGTATATATGAGGTCCTGGGTTTGGTCCTCAGTACTAGGAAAAAATGTTCTTTTGATGTTAATTTGAATATTAATATCAGGACTGATGGTGTGGCTCAGTGGCAGAGTGTGTGCTTAGCACATGTGAGGCTCTGAGTGTAATCCCTAGCTCTACCACCATCACCAAAAAAGAGGCACACACTGACGAGGAGGAATCACCTCCCTGCCTCACAAGCCCCACCATGGAGAAGCCAGCTGCTCCAGCCTCTTGCTTACCTGTCAGGCAGGCTAAGAACCTGTGCAGGTGTGAAACAAAATGATTTCTAATGCTTTCAGGCCAAGTTGTATTCACAAAGATCTGAGGGACATAGACACCATTGAGCAATCGAAGCAAAGCTGGGATGTAGGAGCCCCGCACTGTTCCATACTGCACAGTTGCCTCGAAGTTCTCTGGGGTGATGGGAACCAGTGCTTGGCGAATGAAGTACACAATCTGATTCTGGGTCTGCATGAAAGACGGTAGATTAGAGCTCAGTCGCCAGGACCTACACGATGCCCAAAGAAACCTGAGGCTCCCATAGTGAAAGCCAGGCTGAGTACTCTGTCACTCTCTACCTATGCCACAAAATGCTTCCTGTTCTCAGGGATGTAGACTCCAAACCCACAGGAGTGGAGAAGGAATGGAGAAAACATGCCTTGAGGGTACAGACTATTTTGTCCAACGTGGCTCCAGAGTTTAACACAATGCCTGGCACATAATAGACATTTAATAAATGTTTGTTGGCTGGATGGATACATGAGCATCCCAGAATGATGTTTTTCAGCCATGGAAAAAGTAGGGACAAGGAGGATACAAAGGAGGACAATTAGGAAAAGCAATTATCTAGAATAATGTTGCTTTTTTATATATTTTATTATTTTTATTTTACGTGTATGAGTGTATTGGTTGCATATACATAAGTGCACCCATGTCATGCAATGCCTGCAGAGGTTACAAGGCACTAGATTCCCCTGGAACTGGAGTTACAGACAGTTGTTATCTGCCATATGGGTGCTGGGAATCGAAACCAAGTCCTCTGGAAGAGCAGCCAGTGCTCTTAGCCACTGAGCCATCCCTCCAGCCCTCTTTTAAAAAAAAAAAAAACAAGGTCTCAAACTGGCTTCAAACTCACTATGTAGCTGACGAAGACCTTGAACTCCTGATCCCACTTGCCCCCACCTTCCTGGTGCTGGGATTACAGGAATATAATACCACGCCTGGGTTCTGTTGCATGATTTTTGTCTGTTTCTTGAGACAGGGTCTCACTATGTAGTCCTGACTGGCCTGGAACTCAGTTGTAGACAAGGCTGGCCTCAATCTCACAGAGACCCATCTGCTTCTACCTCCCAAGTGCTGGGATTAAAGGCATGCACCATCATGCCCAGCTCATATTTTATTATTTTTATTTTATGTGTATGAGTGTATTGCCTGCATGTATGTAAGTACACCCATGTTGTTCAATGCCTATGGAGGTCAGAAGAGGGTGTCAGGTCCCCTGGAACTGGAGTTATGGAGTGTTGTTAACTGCCACGTGGTTTCTGAGAATTAAACCCAGGTCCTCTACAAGGACATCCAGTGCTCTTAAACTGCTGCATCATCTTTCCATCCCCATGTCATGTTCTTTTTCCCAGTTTTTCATTTAGCTTTCATCATTGCTTATGGTGAGTTTTTGCTGTTGCTTACATTCAGAGCTATGTAGGTTTTCTTTTCCTTAGTTACATCTAAAATATTCCAAATTTTGAACTTCTGACTGCAACATACATTAATAGGCTGTTCTCAAGCCAGTTCTGGTGGCACATGTCTTTAATTCCGGTACTTGGGAGGCAGAGGCAGGTGGATCTCTGTGACTTTGAGGCCAGCCTGGTCTACATAGCGAGTTCCAGCCCAGCCAGCTGGGGTTACAGGGAGACCCTCTCTCAAAAAGACAAAAAAAAAGGCTGTTCTCACAGCAGATTCATCTGTTTCATTTTTAGTGTTGTTTTAGAAGGGTTGTTTTTATTTTTGTTTGTTGGGGCTTTTTTTTAGTGTGTAGGAGTGTTTTGCTTGCATGTATATAAGGGCACCCATGTCATGCAATGCCCGAGGAGGCCAGAAGAGGGCATCAGATCCCTTGGAACTTGAGTTAAGGACAGCTGTTAGACACCATATGGATGCTGGGAACTGAACCTAGTTCTGCAAGAGTACCCAGTGCTTTTAACTGCTGAGCCATCTCTCCAGTTCCACAGTTTAATTATTTTTAAAAAGTGAAAATAAAGCACAAAGAGGAAATTAATAAAGAAATTAAATTTAATTAAGAAATTAAACATCTTCCCACTATCCAGAAATAAATTTGGAATGTCTGTCCATTTTTTAAAGTTTAATAACTATTATTTTTGCCAAGATGTTATATATTAATTATAAATAGATGAAACAATACATAAGGGCTGACAATATGGCTCAGTGGTACAGCAGTTGCCTAGTGTGTTCAAGATCTTCGTTTGAACCCCTGAACTACAAACAAAATAAAAACAAAATGAAAAAAACACAAAAGTTAAAGTTGAAATGTCATTTAAGATTCTATTGCCACCAGGTATAGTGGTGTAAGCTTTTAATCCCAGCACTCAGGAAGCAGAGGCAGGCAGATCTCTGTGAGTTCAAGACCAGTCTGGTCTATATATCAAGTTCCAGTCCAGTCAGAGCAACATAGTGAAAGATGCTGTCTTTAAACAAACAAATAACAGGGCTGGAGAGATGGCTCAGCGGTTAAGAGCACCGATTGCTCTTGCAGAGGACCCGGGTTCGATTCCCAGCACCCACATGGCGGCTATAAACTGTCCTTAACTCCAGTTCAGGGGAATCCAAAGCCCTCTTCTGACCTCCACAGCATTGCACAACACAGGTGCACTCACATATATTCAGGCAATACACTCACACACATAAAATAAAAATAATAATAAAAAAAATACTGCCTCCTTGAAACAAAACAACAAAAAGAGTCTATTGTCAATCAGGGCTGACAAGATGGTTCAGCAGGTAAATGACTTGCTATAAAAGTCTCACTGCCCTGAGTTCCATCCCTGGAACCCACGTAAAGATGGAAGGAGAAAAACAACCCCATAAAAATTTCCTCTAACTTCACATGCACACCATGACACATGCGCCCACACATATACATCATACACAATAACAATAAATGAAAGCAAAAAAAATCAATCCTATTGCCCAGAAATTAAATATTTTTATTAAAGTTGTTAAATTTTTATTTATTTTATATTTATGAGTGTTATGCCTGCGTGTGTGTGTGTGTGTGTGTAAGTGTACTTGTGTCCTGCAATGCCCACGGAGGACAGAAGAGGGTGTTGGATCCCCTGGAACTGAAGGTACTGACGGTTGTTAGTTGCCATGTGGGTGCTGGGATTTGAACCCCAGTCTTCTGCAAGAACAACCAGTGCTCTTAACAACTGAGCCATTTCTCTATCCCCTCAAAGCCTCAAGTGCTGTGATTACAGACATATGCCACCATACCCAGGCTCTTTTGTTTTGTTTTGGTATGTTTTTTTTTGTTTGTTTGTTTGTTTTGGCTTTTTGAGACAGGGTCTCCCTGTAGCCCCAGCTGTCCTAGAACTCACTATGTAGACCAGGCTGGCCTGCCTCTGCTTCCCAAGTGCTTGGATTAAAGGCATGTGCCACCACGCCCAGCCTTTTTTGGTTTTTTGTTGTTGTTTTAAAATATTTTATTTAGCCAGGTGTGGTGGCACACACCTTTAATCCTAGCACTTGTCTCAAAAAGACAAATAAATTTTATTTAGGGGCTGGAGAGATTGCTCAGTGGTTAATAACACTGGTTGTTCTTGCAGAAGACCTGGGTTCAAATCCCAGCACCCACATGGCAGCTAACAACTGTCCATAACTCCAGTCCAGGGGATCCGACAGCCTCTTCTGACTCCCGAGGGTATTGCATGACAGGGGGGCACTTAACCTGTATATGCAGGCAATATACACATACACATAAAATAAAAATAATAAATTTAAAAAAATTTTTTTTGTCTTTTTGAGATAGGGTCTCCCTGTAACCCCAACTGACCCAGAACTTGCTATGTAGACCAGGCTGACCTCAAACTCACAGAGATCCACCTGCCTCTGCCTCCCAAGTGCTGCGACTAAAGGCTTGTGCCACCATGCCTGGCATAAATAAAATTTTTTAAAATATTTATTATTTTTATGTGTACGTGTGTATTGCCTACATGTACACGTCAGTGCACCCGTGTCATGTAATGCCATGGAGGTCAGAAGAGGGCTTCAGATTCCCCTGGAACTGGAGTTAAGGACAGTTAGTAGCCACCATGTGGGTGCTGGGAATCGAACCTGGGACCTCTGCAAGAGCAATAAGTACTCTTAACCACTAAGCCATCTCTCCAGCCCATTTTGTTTTGTGAGACAGGGTCTCACTATGTGTACCAGGCTAGCCTCAGACTCACAGAGATCTGCCTTCCTGTGCCTCCCACATGCTGAGATTAAAGGTTTGAGCCACCTATGCCCAGCCCAGCCCAGCCCAGCCTTTTCTTTTATATTATGGCATTGATAGTTGTATGAATCCAAGCCAGTTGTTTTCCAAAATATCCCTTTAGATTTATCTGATTGCTCCTCATTATTAGTTTCAAATTAGATATTCTTGATAGAACAACACACAGTTGATGTTCCCAAAGAATTAGCATCCTTGAATTTTAGTGGTGTAACTAAAATGCATGCTGGCTTTAAATGATGAGTAAGAATTCTGGTGCAGTGTCTGTGTCCACTGATTCCCAGATGCAGCTCCTTTTGTATTTCAGGAAAATTCTTTGTACCTTCTCTCTAAATCCATACTGTGTCATTTGTTGGCTGTCTATACTCCCCTAGATCACTGTATGCCCATCTTTCAAGTCTTTTAGTTTCTCTCTAATTGCATTAATGTCTTCAGCCTTTTCTTTTGCATGAACTGTGATTACCTCAGCCTTCTGCTCTGTAGCGAGGGATTTTCAGTCACAGCTATTCAGCTCCTTGCCATTTTTCACTCTAGTTTTGCAACATGCTGCTTTATTCATTTCCTAAAATCCACCCTCCCTTTCATCTCACTCTCACCTTTTATCATTTTGTCTGCTTTTTAAAAAACTGAATTCATGTTCATATTAAGTTGGGCCATAGTACGATGCTGTGGTAAGGACTCTTCTCGCTTCATTCAGTTGGATCCTCCCCCTTTACATACTTTGTTCTTTTTTTTTTTTTTTTTTTTTCCTTTATATAATATGCTTGCCGTTGCCATGTGATTTCTCCTCATTTTGCTCATGCCTGGGCAGCTTTGTGAATTCATTCTTTTGACTCTAGCATACTCTGGGCAACTTCTTGAAGTCCCACTGTGAAAGATCAGTTTATTTTGACTCTTGAAGTTCAAGTGAAAGGCTTGAGTATTTTATATTTTATTCACTGTTCTGTAGCTCAAGAGACTTGTG